AATAAACAAGTGTTAGTGAGCATGTGGAGAAAAAGGAACTCTTGCACACTGTCGGCGAGAATGTAGACTGGAATACCCGCTAAAGAAAAGCTTTCTCAAAATATTACAAATAGACCTACCAAGTGATCCAGCATTCCACTCCCAGTTATCTACTCAAAGAATGCACAAGCTCTAACTCAAAGGGACATATGCACTCCTATATTTATTGCAGCACTATTTACTATAGCCAAATGATTGGAACAACCTAAGTGTCCTCTGACAGATATGTGGAAGATGTGGTATACATATGCGAATCCTTTCAGCTACGAAAAAGATGAAATTTTGTCATTTGTGACAACATGGATAGAACTGGAGATTATGCTAAATGAAATAAGTCAGAAGGAGGAAGACAAAAACCAGATGATTTCATTCCTATGAGGAATACAAAAAACAATACTAAACAATACTAAACCAAAACATAACACTTAAAATCTAACTGTAGAATTGAGGCTACCAGAGGGGAGGGTGGAAGGTAGGGAACAAAGAGGGGAGGGGCTGGGCCTCCCTGTGGGTGCAGGGGTCAAAGTTTCAGCACTATGAAGCTATCATCAGCCACTGCAGCAGGAGTTCCGTCCCCAGCCAGGGAGCTACCATGTGGCACAGCAGACCTCTCCTGTCTCGCCTGCTGTTCCTCTCAGCAGTGTGTTTCAGTAGATCTGCCTATTCTGCTCCTTATTCTGTCTCTGGTGAATCATCTCACCGTCCCCCACCCCCGCACCTCTGGCCTGTACCCCAGTTCTTCTAAGCAAAACTAAATAAATAAATAAAATCTTAACAAAAACAAAGAGGGGAGCGGGCCCAGTGGACACGGTAGAAGACTATGGGGGTTTGGTGGCGCTTGTGGTGTGGTAACATGTATCTGAAAAGGTATGAAGCTACACCTTTAAATCATAGAGTATTGTAAAGGATTACTGCCTTATTAAAAAAAAATACAATTTAATAAACACTTAAATTAAATAAAACTACACTAGAATACCAAAATAGAAAGTTTCTTGGAATTTTTAAAGTAAATACATTTTTAAAAACTCAAGCAAGAGCTACTTTTCCATAGGGTCCAAGAGATTGCCAGATGTTGTAATGATTAAAAACAAACCAACAAATAAACATAAACAAAGGCTTTGAGATAGAAAGAATTTATTATCTCTGACAACTTATAAAGGACACTATGTAACAGACTGTGCATGAGATGGCAGTGATGGTTAGATTAAGGCAAAGGAGATGGAAATGGATAAGAAAGAAATAATATTAGAAAAGTTTAGAAGAAAAACTAAATAGGATCTAACTATTAATGCAAATACTGGCTAACGCGGAGAAAAATCAAATATCTGTGTTGCATTTTAGAATTAATCTGTTTAAATCTAGAAAACTTAAATAAGGGACCAGGAAAATGAATATAAGAAAGTGAAAATCAAAATCAACAAAAAACTATGAACCAGAGACACTTTTTGGGGGGTGGGGGGCGGGAGGGGAAGGATTGGGGGTCAGAATGGGGCGTTTGCAATTGTATGGGGGAATATAAAAATAAAATTTATTATTTAAAAAAAAAAAGATTATGGTTAAGATAAAAAAAATAAAAAATAAAAAAATAAATCTTTGACCTAACTTTTTTCAAGAGGGATAACTTAAATCTTGCTCCTATTTCTAGAGGAGTATCCATGACCTTTTATTTTTGTTTGAGTTAACTAGAATTAAATCAATGTACTCACAAGCAGTGAAATCAAACTTTCATAGCAAACATAATTACAGCTTTCAATGAACAAGCAGTTTCCTACAACCTACATTTTAACAATGAATATTCCTCATCTTAAGGTTTCAAGTCAAAAGTCCTTGGAACTGATAAAACAACCTTTCAGTATTATGGAAAAGATCTACGCAATTGTCAAAAAGTCAAACTAAGATGAAAAGACACAAAATAAATTAAGATGTAACCTATATTTTGATAGCAATATATATTTTCTCATCCTTCCTTAACTATGCACGTGCACACACACACACACAAACACACACACAAGAAAGAAAACTGTTAAAAACACTTGCATGCTCTCACTTGCACACCTAATCAGAAATGTGGTTTCTGGTTTTGATTCAACTTTAATAAAGGCTGAATAAAAGATATATTTGATTCATTGTTAATTCTACACTAAACAGGAGGTTTTAAGAAGAGTCCAAAAAACTGGTGTCTGGAGAATGGTTTTCAGTCAGTGGTGGTTTTCAGTCAGTCATTACTTATTGAACAACTTCTAGAGCAACAATTACTTATTGAGCCTAGCAGTGTTGTGGTGAGCCAAACAAGACAGAAATTTCTGCCCTCTGGAGTTTACATTTTAGTGAGAGGAAGATGAGAAGAATGACAAAACATGTGAGTAAATTAGTAAAATTTAGAAGGTGTAGGCATTATGGAAGAACAAAGGCAGGGAAAGAACACAGTGAGTGTTAAGAGTTAGGGAGGAGATTGCAACTGTAAACAGGTTGGTCTTTCCTGAGGTGACATTTAAACAAAGATTCTAGAAAGTGAGGGTACTGATCTCTTGATAAAAAAAAAACAGATTATATTTCATTTTTTCAGGCAGAGGGAAGCAGCAAGTGCAAATTGCCTTGAAGCAGGAGGACAACTGATGTGCTCTAGAACTGTTACGTCTAAAACCCTAGCCATATGCGACTATTTGAATTCTAATTGATTAAACTTAAATGCAACAAAAGATTCAGGTCCTCAGTTTATACTTGCCTCATTTCAAGTATCTAATGACCAGTATATTGGACAGTGCAGATGTAGAACATGTCCATCATCATGGAAAATTCTGTTGGACAATTTTGCTCTAAAACGAATAAGAAGGCCAGTATTTGCTGGAGTAGGTTAGGTAAGAAAGACAGTGATAGGTGAAAACACAGAATTTAAAGGAGCACAAGTATGTAGGAGCTTGAAGGTTGTTGTAGGAACTTTGAAGTCTGGAGGGTTTTATCAGAGCAGTAACATCTGATTTGCCATTTGGAAGAATTCCTTTGGCTTATTTTTATAATAATACAGTTGAAAGATGATGGAAGGTAGACAAGGTGGTAACAATGGAGGTGATGAAGTGTTCAGACTCTTCAATGTTGAAGTCAGTACCAACAGATTATGCTGGAAAAAAGGATGAGAAGTGTGTTACGATGAATACAATTATGTTAGGAAAGAAATGAGTGACTAGGGCCTGTAGAGGCTAAGGTCGTGTAGACTGCTTTTACTTTGAGAGGACAATAGCTTGATGGAAAATGTCTCGGAGGCAACTGGAGAAGTCAGAGTTTGGATGAGAAAAGGTCCTGAGAGTCATTAGCCTATGTGTACGAGATCTATCAGGAGGTCAAAGAGATATCTAAAATCTGGCTCTTGAAGAAGAGGGAAATGGGTAATGCAAGAGACAAATTAGATATTAGCACCTAAGAAAAGGGATGTCCACAGTCAAATGTGAAAGAGATGCCAGATAATTCAAGAGAAAAAGATGGTGCCCAGGAAGAGATCGTATGATGTGGAAAGGCAATGATCTCTGAGAGCACAGTTCCTGCCACAGAAGTGGAGAGGAAGTAGAATTAGGGAGAGGTCCTAGAATGAAACTGTTTCAGTGATTCTACTGTTACAGAGAAGAAAGTGTGATCAACTTGGGCATTTCTCAGTCTGTGGTAAACATCCTCTTGTGACAAATGGAATACTTTTTGAAATTCAGAGTTTATTTAAGCCACAAGGCAATGAAAAAAATTGTAAGGCTACTTTGAAGAAGGGTGAATACATGCATTAAGATTTGTTCTCGACTTTTTGAGACTAGGTAGCAAGTGGGCACTAGGGGAGTAGAATACAAGACTTCTGTGATAGTGATTTTTAACTCTCTTCTTGATGGAGCAGGAACAGCTAGTGTTGGTTATTTTAAAGTGGATAAGGGTATAAATACTAAATCTTGGAAGGAAGGCTAATGAGAAAGCTGTAGATGTCCTTTGAGCTTCCCTTGGCCCCAGAGCTCTGGTTGAAGAGTGAATGGAAAAGGACAGGGGCTCACCACAGTAGCCCAGCTGCATTTTCCTGGTAAGATTTCAGAAACAAGTTGATCTAGGCTCAAAAAATTGATATTCAAAAAGGAATTTTATATATCCAGTTTCTCCCGTCTAACATGAGGTTCGGAGACCCAGAGACATTAAATAAATCCCCCAGTGCATTCAGCCAGCACGATGCAGAGCCACACCTATACAGGGCTAACGGAGTCCCCAGCTCTTTCAGCCTCACGGTTGTACTTGCAGGTGGGTCTCATCCGTTAAAGGTGCAAGGATGGAATATTAACACTGTGTGGAGGAGATTAAGGAGAGCCCAATCTAAGAGCAGGGACTAGAGAGCAGTTTGCCTCGTCCCAATGCCTCGGCCAAAGATCTTAGTGTGGAAACTGTGCCTTACTTGCCACGCTGACCAGCGCACAAGTGAAACCCACACGTTGACAAGTGTCGGTTTCACTGACTCAGGGTGTATTTTTATTTAAAAAAAAACCAAAACATTCTGATACTATCCCTGAGTACCCTCAGAGTGGGGGATTTGCGGAAATATACGGGGAGGGACGTAATAAAAAAAATTAGTAGAGTTGGGGATTGGGGAGGATGAGTTACTAGCGGGAGAAATGGGCCAGAGAATGCCAGGCTTGACAAGAACCTTGGAAGAAATGGTTCTTTCCTGTTGCTAGGACCGCTAGCGTCCTTGGTTACGACTGGGCGCGCACTTCCTTCGCTCCTAGTTCCGCGCGCCGCGCCGCGCCGCACCAGCGCCACCTAGCGCCGCGGGGAGAAAAGCGCACCGTGCGGCAGACACTTGCGATCCGGTCCGGGACAAGGAACCGAACCGCCCGGGCTTTGCAAAGCGGCCACCCAGAAGCCAACCTCAAGCCCCCGCCGAAGGCAGTGCCGGGAGCTACGAGGCGGGCGAGCCCCAGCGGCCTCCCACCCCGACTCACGTCGTAGTCCCGCAGCCAGGATTCTAGTTTGTCCGGCAACGATCGCAAAGATTCGCTCGAGACCAGCCTCTTCAGGTTCTCCGCCATCGCGCACGCTGCTGCTGCTGCGCCCCTCTCCGGGAGATCGAGGCTTGGGCGGGGACGCGGCGGGGGTCTTCGCTGGACTGCGTGTTGAGGTGGCGGGGAGGGTGTTGTCTTCCTGGGGCTCAGAGCGCGGCTGGTGTTTCCATCCTCCCCCTCGGGTTGGACCGGGCAGGGTTCGGGAAGCCGGGGGGAGGTGCCCTGGGCTGCAGCCGCGGCGCCTCATCCGCTGCCCGGCGCGGTCCTCTGGCTCCCCGGCGCCGCGCCCGCCGCGGGGGCCATAAATACCCGGGCATTATTAAACAAACCCTGACGTGGGCGGGCGGCTGCTAGGGACGCGAGTTGGCCGCTTCGTGGCAACGCTGGCGCCGCCCAGCCCCCTGGAGCCCTCCACGCACCTCCTGCCCCGCGGTCCAACCTCGGCCCCGGCTTCTGCTCCTGCACCGCAGCTCGAGGCTCCTCCGGCTGCAGCCCGCCCGCTCCAGCTGCTGCCGCCGGGGTCCAGCGCTGGGGAGCCCGAAGCCCCGGAAACTTTGGTCGAGGGGGGCTGGAGGACGCCAAGACTACAGATGATGTACTGGCTGCAGATCATCCTTATCTATTTATTGAAATAGTCTCCACAGTCGAGCTTAACTCAGTTCTGTTTCTTTAGGCAATTGACAATGTATGGACATACATTTTCATATATTGAGGATTTTCAACACCTCTTCATTTCTTTTGCAGTGGAGTTAGCTGTCCTCTGATAAAAATGAGAGGCTGATCTCTGGAGCTTGGGTTCCTCGAATTTTCTGTAGACTACAAGGGTACATGGCACTTTATTTTATCATAGTATGATAATAATTACTAAATTAAAACAATTATGGTCCCAAGAAAAATATTTATTAGATGGTTTCTTTTATATCTATCTATGTATATATATAGAGAGAGAAATGGAGAAAACCTCATATTTTTAAAGTTGAAGTCAATAATTGCATATTTCAGTAGGCAATTGGGATCTCTGAATCTTTTACTTACTCATAAAACAAGTTGGAACTTTTGTGTATGTCAGGTTGGGGGTTAGACCTTCCTTGCTGTAGGCTCTTTAATTTGCTTGGTTTCATCATCTGTAAATGAGTTACAATATCATTACTTCACAGGATTATAATAAGACTAAATAAAATAATTCACATGAAGTACTTAGCACAATGCTTTGCATTACACTGTTGAAAGTGCCCTCATAAATGCTATGATCACTATTACTACAAATATGTAGCACAGTATCATATTTAATAAAGAAACTAGTTGGAAACCATCTCAATCTCCAATAATAGGGTAATGGTTGAACAAATCATTCTATAAAATGTTGCACAATAAAAATCTTGCTATTGGAAAATATCCAGTATATAGGAATTCTTACATGTTAAGTGACAAAAATTTATATATATTGTGTTACACAATATGAACTCAAGATATGATTATTGATGATTTTAATCTGCTTTCAGATTTTCTAAAAACCATGAACACAAATTGCTTTTATGAAGATATAATCAGAAATAAAGTATCCAAAAACTATACTATCCTCAGAAAAAAATGTTAGCCCAAGCATCAACATTTAAGCAGACTTGAAACAGCTTTGACCAAAAAGCTATATTACTAATTTACTATTTAAACTCATTGGGTCTAGTCTAAGGATAGAACACATCTTAGAACTCACCTTAGAATATACGCATGGTGTTATTTATCTCTACAATGCTGTAGTCCCGCAACTATCAATACATTCAAGACCTTAAAGACCCACAGTCACAATGGTGTGCCTTTTGGTCTCCCTACAACTCTACAGAGCATAGTAGGAATGCTGTGTTTATTAGTAACAAAGAAGCAGAGACCACAGTGACTTAGAACAAACCAAAAGAATCTTTGTGTTCATCATTTACTGCTCCCCACTACTTCCAGAAAAGCAGATCTGATTTCCTTGCACTAAATGGCTTGTAGAAAATATCACTGCTGGATTAGAAGTACATTTTTTTTTTTTTAAGATTTATTTTTTTATTTATTTATACAAGCACTGGGTACAGTCAGAAACGCGGGAGGGTGAAAGAATTCACCAGAGCCAGAGCAGGGAGCAGAGCAGGCAGAAGGACCGAGGTACACTGCTGAGGGGAGCAGTGGGCGGCAGGAGAGGTCTGCGCGCCATGTGGAACCCTCCTCTGGTGGCCGGGGAGCAGCCAGGGATCGAACTGGTGCTGCAGAGGCTGCGGGCAGCTTCACAACCCAGCGCTCAACCGCTTTGCCACCGGGGAGGCCCATTAGAAGTACATTTTGAATGAAAAAAACAAATATGCCCCAAATTTAAATCTATGTACTAGATTGAGCCTTATTTTGCATTTATTTCTTTGCTCTGTGTAAGCCAAAGCAGAAAGGAAAATTTCTAGTTTGGTTATTACTTGATTTTGAGAGTAAACATACCAGTTCTTTGAATGGAAACAGATTTTTCTGGTTCTAAAATGTTTATCCTTTTTCAAAGAGTCTAGAATAATATAGATGACATATGTCTTCAATAAGACTTTTTAAAAGAAAATATAGAATTTTGATTTGATTGTTAATTGCAGTCATCTTTGATCCATGCCAAGACAGTAAGTAACACTAAAATACACATAAGCAAAGAGAGGGCCACCTAATTGACACCCATTTCTTAGCTTTCTGGGATGTCCTAAGCTTCTACAAGCTTAGAAATTCCATACCTACAGGAATAAGTGCACATTCTCATAAGTGCCCTTAATGACAATTCTGGCCACAGAGTTTTTGATGGGTGCTGAATAACAGTTTAAGAGAATTAGTGCCTGAAGTGCAAAGGGTCTATGTTGTTAAGGAAGAATCTGCTGCATATTTTAAAGTTACTAAGAGAGTAGATCTTAACAGTTGTCATCACAAGAAAAAAATATAACAACCTGGGGTGATAGATGTTAACTAGACATGATGGTGCTGCCCAATACAAATACCCAATCATGTTGTATACCTGAAACCAAAATAATGTCATATGTCAATTATACCTCAATGGAAAAAAACAGCACTTAGATAGAGTGGTTAGGAGGATTATTTGAATTAATGCTGGTAATACAATTAGGGGGGAAAATCCATATACTTTAAATTATCAGTATGGAATTCAACAAGGGTAAGTTTTATTTTAAGCCAATAAGTCTACCTTTTTTTTATTTATATGAATGAGATTATCAGATAAGTAAAGATTCTTTCTGGAGAATATTTTGATACTCTAACTTGTCCCAATTTGATTTAGAGTGTCATCAACTAAGCTATTATTTGAAAAAAGAAAAGGTTCAAACCTTTCTTTTGTGATACACTATCAGATATCATGGAGAAGTTGAAAGAACAATAAACATGGAACATAGACATTTTCTTTGTCTCTCACTCTGCCAATCAGTGATTTCTTATGATTTGACCTAAGTCTGTAATCACTCTGAGCCTCATTTTTTCCCCCATCTATGTAATGAAAATCATAGACTAGATGAATGCTGTTTTGTTGCTGTTGCTAACATGCTGGTTAAGGTTCATATTGAGCAAATCTTGCCCTTTGTTTCAGTTTTATTTCATAGTTCAGTTCAGGTCAAGCTTTGGTTCTAAGAGCATTAGCCAATCACCAAAAGTTGAGCATCTTTCTTAAGTACAATTTATTCAGCAAAACTGATGGGATAACTAATATGCCTAACCGGCATGGAATAAATAAGGGATTTCTCTATAGTTGCACTTTTAATAAATTTCAACCCAGCTTGAACTCACAAATCTTCCCAACTCCCTCAGAGCCTATCACTTTTCACATTTTCTCTGAGTTTGGACATGTTGAAAATGCTCGAATTATCATGGATTATTCTTATTTGCCTATCTTCTATATAAGCTTATGAATTTCTTGAAGGAAAGGACAGATGTTTATTTAACTTTATATCCTCAGCATAGCACCTGGCACCTTCTAGACTCTCTATAAAATTTTGTTAAACTGACTGGTTAACAATAAGAAAAAAAATGAAGGAAGGAGATGATTGGCTGCTTTCTCTCTGATGTCATAATCCCATAGGGGTAGGATAAAGCAAACTGAATAGCCACTTGGTTTTTCTTATGGCATCATAGTCTACCACCCACCCAGAAGCCATTTGTTGTACAGAACTGAAATGTAATCAGACTTCTATATGGAATAGGCTTTCTGAAAGCTCTTAATTTTGTCCACTCTGAATGTTAACTACATCAGATCAACTGCCAAGATTTTTTTTTTAATTGGGGATTTTAAGAAGCCAACGAAAGAGTAACTGAATCTAGTCAGTGTAGTGAGAGCTGTGCATGTAGCATCACACTACATTGAGCATAAATATCTGCAATAAACTGCAAGGATAGAAGGTGGGATGCTCATCATAACTCAGTCCTTTCTCACTGAGGACAGTGTGACTAAAAGAATAACCTGTTCTGCTCTATCTGTGCTTTTTCAGGCACCCCGATCCACCTCTGTGTGTGCCACGCTGTTCTTGTCTACAGCTCTCTCTGTTAGGATCTTGTGTCTTTTAGTCAGAGCCCATATTACTATCTGAAGAAAGTCTGCACTGACCCACTGGCATGAAGTTTCCTTGAAATCCAATTTTGATTGGTGGTATTATAAGGGTATTTTGTCTCCACAAGTAGGTAGAAAAATGCTAATTATCCATTTACTCAGTGCCTCTAACTCAACTACCCTGTATTCTCATTTTATCAATGAGATAAATCTTCATTGGTCTGTTTCGTTCCCTGTCACATTGGAGAAAAGGCAAATAATTAAAAAAATTTAAATGGCCATTGGAGAAAGAATGAATTGTTTGGGATCTGAACTGAAGTTAGATGCTCCCACCGGAGAGAAACAGGGATGTTATTCCCATGTAGTGCCGACAAGCCTTCCCAACTCAGAACGACAGTTCAGAATTTTTCTTTAAAATTACTATTCCTGCTTATTATTGGCTAAACTATAAAACTAAAGGAAAATTCTGGCATATCACAACATTATGATATTGGGGTCTAAATAAATGACAGAACACTTATACTAAATACATCTTAGAATAAGAAAACACAAAGTAGATTGAATACAATTTTGAGGGCCACAAGATAACACTACTATTTCACACCAGGTTTCCATTATTATAGTTAGTTCAGAAAAGAAGTCATCCTTGCCCTCAATCTTTTCAACTCTGTTATCTAAATTCACTATTTTTTTTTAAGATTTATTTATTTATTTATACAAGCACTGGGTACAGTCAGAAGCGCGGGAGGATGAGAGAATTCACCAGAGCCAGAGCAGGGAGCAGAGCAGGCAGAAGGACCGAAGTACACTGCTGAAGGGGAGCAGCGGGCGGCAGGAGAGGTCCGCGTGCCATGTGGGACCCTCCTCCAGTGGCCAGGTAGCAGCCAGGGAACGAACCAGTGCTGCAGAGGCTGCAGGCAGCTTCGCAACCCAGCGCTCAACCCCGGAAACACTTGGCTCTGTGAACATGGGCACTGAAAAGATGAGATTTGGACACATTAAGTTGTTGCGAAGGCACAGGTATGATGTGTATTGTTAGATACACTTAGGCACCTCAGGATGAGAGGGATTGAAGTAGATCTTCTCAGCATATTTCATAAACATTTACTGAATTCCTGGTGCAACAGAAACATCTGCCTAATCACAAGGAAAAATTAGACTCAGTTGGGCTGCCTAGAATCTCACGGTCTATTTAGGCAAGAGAAAACAACCATAGTGCCACACGACAAGTAAATATAAAATTCCCTTCCCTTCTTCTCCTACCCCTTGAGTAAAGGATCTGGGGAAGTGAAATTTAGAGTCATATCTGAAAAGATAAGGGGCGGTGGGGGGGGGGGAGTTTACCAGAAAGAGAAGAAAAAGTGGGACAGAAAGGACAGTAAGAAACAGGCATGAAACAGGTGAGTTGTGTGACAGTGAAGAAATGAATTCTAATCCCATAGGAAAATGAATCCTCAGGGAATCAGAGATAACACTGGAAAGATAGTTCTGGGTTACCTTATGATGAGCTTTGTACATCAGGCTAAAGAAAGTACTGTGTAGACAACAGAGTAGCAACAACAGGCTGTAAACAGAAAAATAATACATTCCAGCCTCTTTTTCATAAGTCCTTGGAGCTCCTAGAGGTTAAGTTTGGAAGGAGCTAAGTTAGATGCAGGAAGGGCATGTAGGAGACACAGAGATGAGAGTTAATGAGCCTCTCCTCTTGGGTATTGCATTGTGAGCATTAGTGTGTACAAGTTAGTGACCCTTAGGTGCTGGTAACATTTTAACCAATAGAAAAAAAATCCAATATTCACTCATGGAAGTTATTGAGTAAATATTGTATACTTCGTTTTTAATTTGTTCAGGAGCAAACCAGGAGTAATAACACATTACCCCTGCTTTGTATGAGCTTACAGTCTATTCAAGAGCAAACTATGAATGCATGAAAAGTAAAATGACACAAGACAGTGTGTTAAGTACCAAATGGGTGTCATAGCAAGTTAATGCACTAACAGTTGAAAAAAGAGGAGGAGTGATTGTAATTGTCAGGAGGAGGTGGGACTGAGGTTGGCTCTATAAGATGGGTGGATAGGTATGAATTCAACATAAGACAGATAGGCCAGGGGCATAAATGTATAGTGGGAGAAACATGACAATAGAGGCATGCTTGACGATCACAAGCAGGAGCACAGAAATCAGAAATTTGTGATGGGAAGAAGATTATAAAAGCTTTCCAGAAGAACTACTCTTTTAGCTGAGTTTTAGTGGACAAGTTGGAGACTAGG